CCCCAAAACCCCAAAACCCCAAAACCCCAAAACCCCAAGATTTAAGCGAGAATTGAAAATTAGGAAGATATAAATAAAATGGAGAAGACTGAAGATGAGTCCAAAGTGGAAACTCAGACTGAATCGACTTGAAAAGTCAAGTAAGGACTGTGTTAAATAGTGAATCTCTTGAAGATTTTGTGGTTTTGCTTGATTTAGTTGTAGGTCTCTAACAGCTTGTGTAGAAAAAAAGTCCCAAAGAAAGCACTGTTGATCAACACAAAGAACTCTAGTCATGCTGGTCCTTTGTTGGATGAGGTCATTGCCTTCAATGGCTGGAAGGTAACCTCAAGAATTATTTTTAGGAAACCAAATTTGAAGGTAAAGGGAACATTTATTGGGCAGGAAATGCTCGTTATGAAGCTGGTAAGTTTATCACAGTCAACATCTAGTTCTTCCAATTTTAACAACTAAGAAAAAGATGGCTTACTCTAAAATTCCAGAATTGAAGGTAAATTCTTGGGTTAAGCTTTAGGAAATTGCTCATAAGTCAGATCTAGCCAGAGTAATAAACTATATGCAGAGATTTTATCCAAATGACTTTAACTTCGTCCCAAGGACTTTTATTTGCCCCAGAGATGAAGAGGTTGTGAGCAGGTTGATGAAGAAGAACAAGGACAAAACTTGGATCTGAAAACCATCTAAAGGAGCTCAGGGTGACGGCCTCCAGTTGGTTAGTAATATGTGGGAGATATCAGACATGCTTCAGAGGGATGAGTTTATTATTCAAGATTATATTGAAAAACCCCTTCTGGTCGATAAGAAGAAGTTTGACCTGAGGTTGTACATAGTTGTGTATGGAGCAGAACCAATGACTGCTTATCTTTGTGAAGAAGGTATGTCTAGATTCTGCACTGTTGACTACAAGCCTCCCAGTAAATCAAATCGACGTAATGAGTTCATGCATTTGAGCAATTACTCGATAAATAAGCACAGTGATGATTATGTTAAAGATAGTGAAGGAGAATCTTCCACTAAAAGGAAGCTGTCAAGTATTTATGAGAGGATTCAAAGCTTATATCCTAATGGAGATGAGATAGTTGAGAGAATCAAAACCAACATCAGAGATGTATGAAGTAAAACCATTACTGCTATTCACTCAGACATTGGTACGCTTAAGTCAATTAACTGCTTTTAGTTCATAACCTTGAAGTTGAATTCAAATCAGTTGAAAATGTAACATGAGCCCTTTTCCAAGTGATCGGAGTAGATATTATGATTGATAGTGATTACAAAGCTTGGCTTCTGGAAATCAATAATAATCCGAGTCTTAATATATTGTTTGAGAAAGACTTTATGAATAGCTCAGACAGTGAAATTAGCCAGATCGATTTAGATATCAAGAAACCGATGCTTTCTGACGCTATACAACTTGCGCAACTCTTTGCGAAAGATAGAAGTTCTCTTGATGATATTGTACAACACAATAGTCTGACCAAAATCTATTATGACTCTGTGTTCTCTCCTAGAACAGAGTTTGATGTCCAGCATAGTTGAAAAATCATTTACAACTCTTTGTCTGGGTTGAAGGGGAAGTCGTGTTTAACTTCAGGACAATTTGCTAAACTGTACACTCTTTCTGAGCATATTAGTCTAAGTGATATTCAAAAGACAGATCTAACTCTGGCCTTCTCATCCCTTGTTGGCAGATTCAAGAGCATGATGACCCTAGCTGATTTCAAAGAAGCAATGTTCAAGTTATTCACAAAGTATCAGAAGAATCAAGGAGGCAGTGATTCTGAAGAAAGTCTGGAAGATTTATTCCCGGGATTTCTTCAGAAAATAGTTGAAGATATTAACTCAGATTAAAGATCAATTTTATCCTTACTCACTGGGGTTTTGGGGTTTTGGGGTTTTGGGG